CCCCCCCGGGGGGCGTGGGTTCTCCCGGGGGTTTGGGGGGGGGGGGGGGGGGGGTGGGGGTGTGGTGGTGTGGTGTTTTTTTTTGTCGGGTCGCTCTCCCTTTTTTATTTCTTATGGTTGAGGTGTGAATTGCGAATTGTTTTTGGAGAATACTAACGAAACCGCCACAGGGACGAAACTTTTAAATTTGTTTTGATTTTATATTTATTATTTTTAATTATTAAACTATGTAGGTCAAGAATATTGTAAATACTGTATTTGATTGTTATGATTACTAATTATGTTAAGAATTTAATTGGTTTTTTATTTTGTCAATGTAAAGTGAATCTTGTCATTACGTAGGTAAACTCAAACTCAAAATAACTTTATTCATATAGGTAAACAAGTACTTACACTTATGAATGTCAGAAAAGAAGTTAAATTAATTGTAAATTTACATTTACTACCAGTTCGTAAGCAAAGGGCGTAGAGCGGGCAAGAAGAACTGGCAAAAATATATTATTATTTCCAATAAAATTTTATCTGTTTCATTTATTTAATTGTGATTGGGCGAGACAGCCAAAGCAATTGGCGGGAGGTGGGACAGGACAGGGAAGAAGAATAAAGAAAAGAAGAAGATTGAAGATTCTCGTTTCAGATTCTAAGACTTTTTTTGGGTCCTTGAGCCAGAGGAGTGGGCAGTGGCGTAACTATACCACCTGGGCCCGTGGCAAATCTTCTTTCGGGGCAATTCTTTTGATGGGGCCCTATCAGTAAAAAGTCCCTACTCAGTTTAATTTTAATAAACTTCGAGATTTTCAGCGTACACGTTATATATGTCCCACTAATGGCCAAAGGCCTTCTCTCTTAGGCGAGAGGGAATGGTCTGTAGTCCCCACGCTAGCCCAATGCGTATTGGAGACTTCACATTCATCCATATAACATAATATCTCTTGGGTCGGGGTCATTTTGCCAGCTCTGCCACCCTCTTGTTACGCCACTGAGAGTGAGTGAGTGAGTGTAGTTAGAAGAGACTTTCTTTCCACCATAGATTATTTAATCTTATTGTATGTTTCGAAGTTATAAAACGAAATAAATAAATAGTATATTGGAATGCATGAAGGATTATTATAATTATTAAGTCTATTACGGGATTTTGAACTGAGACAAATAAGGAAAAGCCTTTGATTGTTTTATTTCCTCTTGGCTTGACCATTTACGCCTCAAGGATAATTACATATATTAGTTTAATAGGAATCTAAATAATTTCTGCAAAAGTATTGGGTGGGTGTCGTATATTTATATGTATTATTTGCAAAGGATAGCGAAAAGTGGAAAGGATACGAGGAGGACATTGCCAAGAGGCACACCGAACTCCGAGATATACTGGAGTGAAAATATATTAAAGATCACAGATCACAAAGTTTCGGAATATAAAGGCTATAGTTCACTAAACTCCTCTTAAACGGCTGGACCGATTTGACTGATTTGTTTTCTGGATGGTTTAGATTTCAAATCAGCTCGGCAGATGGCGCTGCAGTCGGTATCTAGGTTATTTATCTATTTTTGACGAAATTTTTTGTGTACGAGAATTTTAAATTTTTTTGTATGTAAGACGTGTGTACAAGGTCTGTCGAATCCGCTGGTTTACTAAAAACATTTAATTGTATGACCTTTTCTATAGCTACATTGATTAGCAGCTACGGCTGATTCTTCTTCTCTTCTTATGTCAATCAATCAAAAAATCAAACGTTTTTGACATACGGGACGGTATCAAAAACTTTGGGACTCTATTAAAAAGGTATTAATTTATTAACTTCGTTACATTACAAATAAACACAAGTATCATAAATTATTAGGGATGCAACGGCCTTATCGCTTCCAGGCAACCATAGCGAGAAAAAAAACTAAGTGTAAGAAGGGCATAACACAGAACACTGAATAATTATACAATCAAACTAAAATAAATATTAATTAAATAAAAAATACACTTAAAACTAAAAGCAAATCTTACGGTTCATAAATTTCAATGTCTTAAGTATAGAACCTTTAACGAATTGATTATGACGTAATTGCTTCGGGCTGTGAATTCAGAACCAGTCGTCGCTTTGATGAAATTGACTTTTAATCACACATATAATATCTTTTAAGTAAGATTCTTAAATATCGACTTATATATATATACAACTAGCTGATCCGGCAAACGTCGTTTTGCCATGTATATCATTTATAATAAAAATAGGGGTTGATCGTAGAGGGATGAAAATTAGGGGTGGTATGTATTTTTTTAATGCTGTATCATAAAAAAATAAAACAATAAAAATGTATCTACAAATAAAAAAAAAAAATTAGGACTACCCTAACCATTTAGGGGGATGAAAAATAGATGTTGTCCGATTCTCAGACATACCCAATATGTACACAAAATTTCATGAGAATCGGTCAAGCCGTTTCGGAGGAGTTTAACCACAAACACCGCGACACGAGAATTTTATATATTAGATTATTTATTTTACTAAATAGATTTAAATAATTTTAATTTAAAAGTTTAGCCCATGATGTTTTATGTATAATGTATGAGTTACGCGAGAAGGCATGTTTTTATAATTAGTAATAACGTAGTTATTGTGTTGATTGCTAATTATGTTCATAATAGGAAACAACCTCTAAACTCTCAAGGTTAAGTTTTAGGTTTTATAAAGATACCTATATTTGATTCAAACCACTAACATCCAATTTCTTCAATATGTGCATTTTAATAACGGTGTTGAATTTTAAACTCGTCCCTCGTTATTTTTGATCTTCATAAATACTTATTCCGAACGATAAGATATTTTGAAAAATGATTTAAGAAAAGATTGAATCACCAAATTGTTTTAGAATTTGTTTTGGTTAATTAGGTTTTACTACAATATCTAACCATGACGGAATGAATGAAATATATTTAAAAAGAAACATCAACTTTTGGGTGTGCTTTGGCCGATTATGAATAAACCTATGAAACCTTGGAGAGATTATTTATCTGTCAAGTAAATAACGAATGATAATTTATCTGCCGTATAATTTGTTTGTTTTCTTTAAGCCGATCTCTAGGTGAACTACTCAATTTTATACGAAATACCGTTATTCAATGTGACCTGAATTCTAAAAAAATATTTAACAAAAGATCATTATTTATAACTTAATTATATTTCTGTAAGTATCAGTTTTGTCTAAATAATATAGCTTAATGTTAAATGTTTGCCTAAACTTGAATGTTACGTCATCACAAATTCTAGGCACGTCATAGATTATTTAAAAATTTGAACTGTGTGGACAAACAGCACTAATATTGTAGAAATTGTTACTGGACACTAACAAAAAAAAATTCCTGATGTTAACTGTCACTTTGCGCGCCAAAACACCGAGTTGAGAGGGCCGCGCGATCTCTATGGCATTTACCGTCTAACTGGTTTTTTAAGACTCATTTTTTCCCGCCAATGGACGCGAATTCAATATTACGAGACTTCTTACGTATACAGTATTGAAATCAAAGTTCGAATAAAAGTTATTTAAAAGACACCATCACATATGTTTATATATAGGTTTACCTACTTTAATTAAGATTTTGTTAGGTTTAACAAAAGACAATTGTCAGTTACTACACCGAAAGAAATATTTAGTCTTCGTAAATATTAATTAATCTATTACTATTTAATGTTGTGTTATTTTTTTCCTATGGGTATGTATTGTTTTGTATGTGATATAAATGTAAATAGTTGCCGCATTGGAGTAATCTGTAATGGTAGCTAATTTTCTAAAAAAATCTCTTGCATTCTCAGATGTCTTAAGCAATAACATCGACAAGTCTTATTCTAGGAAAATATAACCTTAGTCAAAAGTCAAAATCATTTATTCATATAGGTGACGCAATGTACACTTATGAACGTCAAAAAGAAATATAAATTTGTAAATGCTTCTTATTTTACATTTACTGACAGTTCTCAAAGGGCGTAGAACGGAAGAGAAAAACTGGAAATAAACTCTCCGCCACTCTTTAATCGCTTAGTCAATATAAATTATTTACAATATTCTAAACCTACATAGTAATAATTATGATAATTGAAAATTATTAAATAGAAAATTAAAATAATGTAAAAAGTTCGGTCCTTGTGGCAGTGTACCTTTAACGCTGGCAGCATTTCCTAGCTGTATGGCGATCCTTATTCAGGAAAGCACCAGCATTATTATGTAGGTACTATGTAGGTTAAGAATATTATAAATACCGTATATTTGTGTGTTCGAAATAAATATAATATCTAAATATATATAAATTAGGCGTCACGTTATTTGTCCGCTATGGACTCCTAAACTACTTAACCGATTTCAATCAAATTTGCACACCGTGTGCAGTTTGATCTAACTTAAAATATTGGATAGCTTACATATACGTATATATAATTATACTGTACGTGTGTATGTTTCTGAACTCCTCTTAACGGCTGGATCGATTTGAATGATTTTTGTATGCATTTGGGTGGAGCCTTGGATGGTTTATATTTACAAATCAGCCCGGCAGATGGCGCTGCAGTCGGTACTTTCATACTTTGTTTAATATCCTAATCGCTTGAAATATCATGCAGGACAATGTCTGTCGGATCCGCTAGTATTATATAATTGTGGAAGTAAGAAATAATTATTTTATACTAGTTCTAAATAAATTACGAAAAATAATTGAAAGTCAGCCCCATCACAGAATCATTTCATGTAAATGCCATGTCATATAAAAGATAAGATCGATTAATAATTAGAGTTTAGCTGCTAAACGTATGGTAACTAAACGGCCAGTTAATAGTTATCAAAACGAACAAATATCCTTCATTTGTTGGCGTTTATACAAAGGTTTTGTTGGCACATCGAGATAAATGTTCCAATTAATAGTATCTGCTCCATTATTTCCTCAACTCAACACACCTTCATACTTTTTTTTACCCCTATTTCTTTCCTCCTATTTCGTGATATTTATGTAATAATAAAATAAACTACCTCAGTTTGCTCCTTCTTTCAGCAAGAGCAAGTTGCTGTGCTGGCGTCATCATCCGACGTATATTCGGTGGTGGGGCATTGGGGAAGAAATCTCCTCCTTCGTTTGCTGGACCCTCGTCTCCAGAGGGAGTTTCGTCACCCAATCTGAAGTGAGGGTTTTCATACTGTAAAAAAAATAAAGTGTAAACATTGTATTTGTGTCAACGAATTGCGGCAGGCGCTAATAAATATTGGTAGTGTGGTTATTTATTGCTGGACTGGTGTAATTTTCAATACATTAATTAATTGAAATTCAATACTTTCAGTTCACGTAAGATACTGCTGATTTTTTTATTCTCGCGCATGCGTAAATCTACTTCGTTTTTTTATGTAACAGGAGGCAAACGGGCAGAAGGTTTACCTAATGTTAAGTGATACCGCAGCCCATAGCCACATTGCCAGAGGACTCGCAATTGTGTTGCCGGCCTTTTAAGAATTGGTACGCTCTTTTATTGAAGGTTTATTTTTTATTTTTTTACAAATAAAAACATACCAATATACAAATACCAATAGCGCTACAACCTTTTACGTCTGGTACTTAGATTTTTATATCTGTTCCGTTATCATTTCTAATAGGCAAGGCAACCTTCTGTGCCTGACACAACCCTCGACCGTTTGGGTATAAGGTTTCCTCACGATGTTTTCCTTCACCTTATGAGCGAGTAATGGTAACATATCCAAAAAGTCCGTTGGTACAAAGAGATCGAACCTCGCCTCAACCCCAGGGACGAGAATCGCACGCTGAAGCCACTTCTCACAAATTGAAACTTATGATATTGAAAATTTCATCAACAAATCCTATTGAGTACCAAATATTAATAATTGAAAACCAAATCAGGCGCAATTTTATTGAAAATTCAGGCAGTATTTTATACAAGCAAGAGTTAACACGAGTTAACGCTTGGAAAATCTAATAACAGTATACGAGTATAGTATTTACAATTTTCTAAACCTACAAAGTAATAATAGAAATAATTAAAAATTATTAAAATGAAAATCAAAACAAATTTAAAAAGTTTGGTCTCTGTTTCAGTGTACCTTTAACGCTGGCAGCATTTCCTCGCTGTATTGCGATACTCATTCGTTGAGCCAGGAAAGTGCCAGCTCTGGGTCACCGGTACTATCTACTAGGCGCCAATAAAATATAAAGTTACAACAGTATATCAATAAAACCTACATTGGAACTTGCACGTGCCTCTTCCGATTCGATCTTCTCAAAGTTTTCACTTTCACTTGAGGAGCATCGTACCTGCTCCTTCTCTTGTTCCGCCATGTTTTCTGAAACGAATAATTTCGAAATATTAGTTCTAAATTAAATTTATTTATTTATTTTATTTTTTTAGGTTTTCAACTGAGTATTTTTGTTATTTGAAATAGTGATTTTGTAGAGAAGAAATGCTGACTAGTTCTGTTTCCTATCAAGTGAACATGACTTTGAACGCCACTTGTAGGAATTTCAATACCGATAACATAAAATTAGATGTATAGGAGTAATAAAACGCATTATGATATCTATTTAACAATGGATTTACATTAGCTTACAAAGGTATTGGCAGTGGCGTAACAATAGGGTGGCAGAGCTGGCAAAATGCCACGGGCCCCCGACCCAAGAGGGCCCCTGCCCAAGAGATATTATGTTCTATGGATGAATGTAAAGTCTCCAATACGCATTGGGCTAGCGTGGGGTCTACAGACCATTCCCTAAAAGAGGAGGCATAATATGGCCATTAGTGGGACATTTACAACGTGTAATTGAGTACGCTGAAAATCTCGAAGTTTATTAAAATTAAACTGAGTACAACGTGACGATTTTTACTGATAGGGCCCCAAAAGAATTTGCCACGGGCCCCAGATGGTGTAGTTACGCCACTGAGTATTGGTTTTCTGAATTAGGCTAAGGTACCGGTGAACGGCTACGATTCAGAAATGGCGGTCGCCGGTGACAAGTACAAAACAAAAACGGACCTGTTGCTGTGAAAAAATCAAGATTTCGAAATCATGACTTAAAACATAAAGTTATCTCAAATATCTACACTATAAGGCCCCCCTGTTACCCGACTCGGAAGACAGCAAGATAACACCGAGAGGTCTCTGCATATATTAAAGGTAAAATACCAAGAAATATTTTTGATGTGCGTCTACTGCAGTGAACGATCAACTTCAACAATGTATAATCTTATCACTGTTTCTGAGCTCAATCATAACAATAATAAATGTTATCTCTTAAAGATATTGCTATTATTATTTTAGTAGGCGCTTTTTTTAATATTTTACAAGGTATGAGCTCGTCATATTATGTGTGCTGCGATATTGCGGGCTACTCGATTGTGAGGAAGTTGCTTGGATCTGGTTAGCGCTGCGCCTGTTCTGTCATTTACACACGGTATTATTATATCTAATATATTTTCATAAGTATATTATTGTCCTCATTTTAACATGTTTTGTGTTTGAAAGCAAAAATAAAATAAGCTGTAATGGAAATACGAATAGCGAAGATAGTCGAGAAATTCAATAAAGGTGGAATGCGACTCATTTATATGGATCTGATCAAATGGAATTCCTTCGGGATTCCTTCCATTAATTCAGCTTACATTCTTACTTACCTACCTAAATACACCACAAGCTATAATAAGAATGTATTCTACCATGTCGTTAAATCGTTCACGAATCAGTGTATTTTTCGTTCATTACATAATTGCCTATGCCCATGGCGTGCCATGTCACATGAAAACTGTATTCACTGCATCATCAAAAGAAAAAATTAATATATTTAAGCATCAAAGAAAGCGCGCAATAATATATTTATCCGCAATGACCTCTACGGAAAACTTCCTAAAGATAATAAATGTCCTATTTCACCTTCATTGACAGCTGATTGACATTTGAACCTAACTAGATAATGCATCTGTGATAATTACATAGTTCATAATGCAGAACCAAAGTAGAATACATTGGTTAAGAAACATATGTATGAAAAATATATATCATTACTCTTTGATAGGGATTGCAAAAGCGGAATTCTGATATATATAGGGATGATTATTATTATATAAATGTTAGCACAGTGAAGTAATGGACTTTCTGTCCATGTGCGATTTTAACTCGCAACAAGAAAACACCGAGAGGAAACCGGCTACCCTAAGGCTCATGTACTTTCCCAATAGAGAAAACAAGTCACGAACAGACCTCTGAGAAACCAATCTGTAAGCAATTAGCGGGAGGTGGCACATGTCAGGGGAGCGCTGGAAAATGTTGGAAGGTCGTGATGCTGTCCACTTATACTTGTCTATGATGCACTGCATTTGAATTTGGATTGTGTTTTTTACTTTTTTTTTAATTCAAAAATCATTTATTCACGTAGGTAACTCAATGTACACTTGTGATTCGTCAGTAAAGAAATACATATTAATGCTTCTAATTTTACATTTACTGCCAGTTCTCAAATAAAGGGCGTAGAACGGAAGAGAAGAACTTGCAATAAACTCTCCACAACTCTTTTTAATCGCCATGTTTTTTTTTACAACGTTTTGTAAGGAGCTGCAACCATTACACCATGTTCCACATGACATCTTAAGTAATTAATAATAATAACATAAATTAAAAACAGAGACTTGTCCTCTATCAGCAGGAGGCATGGTGAAATAGGAGCACGCACTTACATTCTCGTGGGAACAACACGCAAACACATAGTCGAAGTTTTTGATGTGCGTTGTCATTATGTAATATATTATATTTTTCTCTTATACTAGTAAACACAATGTTTTCAAGTATTATTTACGTTTTAATTAATTGCTAAAGCCGCTAGTCCACCCTACCAGTGGTAGCAGAGTGTGGTTTCGATCCTCTCGTTTCGGAGGCTACACTTTTTGGGTCGCAGAGTCATAGGAGTGAGTGTGAGAGAGGCCCAGACTAGCCCAGTTTTGTTTGTATTAATGTATTTCTAATACGTAAGTACTTGTCGTGTCCACATACTTTACTACTTGTCGTATACATGTATATTTAAACTTTAAACGTTTTTACTATGTAAGTCTATTTGTCCAAAAAACAATTGCTACCTCTCAAATATCGAAGACATACATACTTGTAGCTATGCCATAAAAATTAAACGGTGGATGCTAGTCCCAAACTTGAGTACACTGACCAAACGACCTTGAACAAAATCGAAATTCGTAGGCTGGAAACCCGTTTGGTAAAATTCTGAACTGGTTTACAGTTCCACTCGTATGGGACCAGATTCGCGTATTTTAGCAGCGATAGAACCTCTTCATATCTAACATTAATGTAATTGGTTCATACAATTAAGATCTTTAGGTTGGTAACCAACACTAGCCACTAGCACTACGTGACGAAGGAGATCATAGACAAATAATTCGAATTTTTAGTTTTTTCCGCCATTAAAAGAACCAATTTCTTACATTGAGTATTAAAAAAAATCCACACGTAGCTTCATTGCTCAAAACTTTCAATCATTAATATAGAGACCATGTAATACGTATTCAGATTTTTTATAATAAAGTGCTAATGCCAGGTATTGCCTAATTATTGAAATAAGTATTGGTTTTACAGAATAAGGGGTCTGCTTTTTCTGATTATTTCTTATTGAAACATATTAAACTTTATGCGGATAAGGTAATATCGTTTAGTACCCATTATGACGGGAAAAAAATATTTATCGTTGGACGAGGTTATTATGTATTTACAAACATTAAATTACTATTCATAATATCCATTTGTTAAATAAATGTAGAATTTTCTGAAATTAGCAAATGCCATTGAATTGAAGGATTTCCTATCATAAACTTGCAGCAGTATTTAATGCAGATATTGACCTGTTATAACCACGTCATTGTTAAGGTACACAAAAAGTTCAAAACACCTGTTACTAACTACTTATGACAAAATCCCTAGGTGCTTCGACCAACATTTAATATTCAATCTGTACGTGAAATCTGTTTTATATTTTAAAAGTACAGCCTGCTAACACATGCTCTACCTAACTGCTCTATTTGTCCAGAAAGCGGGTTTGATTTGTTGGATGTAAATTTATAATTTTAAATTATAATTACTCCGATTGAAGGTCAGAATTGAGAATTCGACTACGCGCGAATTCCGCTAACAAATAACGAAAATTTTATTTTTTTTTGTACATTATAAGCATTCAAGTGTAATAAGAAAATATTCGAGATATAAAATTCAATTTATTCTTGATGTGGCAACCAAACAAAAAAATACTTAAGGTTTTTAATTTATTAAATTGTACTAAACCTATGGTATATGTTTAATATTTTTATCCTATCAAGTATTCGGGCTCATTTCTACGTCTAAATTACTATATGAAGTCAGTAGCTTTCGGCAATTCAAACGCCAAAAAAGTTGGTTATCTGCCAGTATTTGGATATACATATGTATATAAACTAGCTGATCCGGCAAACGTGATTTTGCCATGTATATCATTTATAATAAAAAATAGGGGTTGATCGTAGAGGGGTGAAATTTTAGGGTTGCAAGTATGTTGGTGTATGCTGTATCATAAAAAACGGAAAATAAGTATTTATCTAAAAATTTAAAAAAATATTTTAGGGGGTGGACTCCTTTAATATTTAGGGGATGAAAAATAGATGTTGTCCGATTCTCAGACATACCCAACATGCACACAAACTTTCATGAGAATCGGTCGAGCCGTTTTGGAGGAGTATGGCAACGAAAACTGTGACACGAGAATTTTATATATTAGATATTTTGACAATTGAAACAATTATAGACAGAAAAACTAATAATTGAACATGAAATATAGAAAGAAAATTACAACCTATTAGGACATCTTCTAGCTTATTTAATGGTTGCGATTCTAGTCGTCTCGTAAAATCGAGAAAATTAAAATAACACTTTCGGGTCGTTTATTTACTTATGCGTAAAAATATAGTTCGTTAAACAGGATGCAGTTACACAGTTTATTATTTTATTTTATAAAGTTATAAATACGAAACCTTCACATTTGTACTATTGCAAGTGATTTCAACCTCGTAGGATAAGAATAAATAAAGAATTCGTGTCTCTCTCTCAAAGGCCTCAATACCTGAAATGATAAAAACGTTTAGGCTATTTACCGTTATATAATAGAGCCGACTACAATAGTGTTTTTGATACAGCTCGAAGGACGATTTTAAAACAAATGGTGACTTTCACCAGTATAATACTCGAAACAGAACTAATTTAAGCGTACGACCAACCAGGCTCCACAAGATAAACTACTCCTTATATGGAAATTATATT